TTTTCCTTTATGTTACTTTACTTTGCTACATGATGTCCTGAAACACAGTGGCCTCATTTGTCTTTGTTTTCTTGTTTAATCTGAATTGATAATCTTAGTTAACCACCCCAGTTAAAGCACAGGACCCATTTGCATTAATGAGTCATCAAATACTTCTGAAAAGCTGCTCATGGACTATTCACCGAAGGAGCTGTTTACTCCAAGCAGTCCAGGGATCTTTGTGGAAATGCTGTGAAAACCAGGGTCTGACTTAAGAAGTGTTGTCTCTATTGTTAGCGGTTTCCTGGGAGAGGACCAGGGAACTACCAACCCTCCACTTGTGGGACTGGGAGCATGCAGTGAGGACAGACAGTCTGAGGAAATTTCTTTGAAGCAGACTTGGGTTCAGGGTCCATCACAGAAACCGGTGTGTGGGATCAAGAAAACCTACTGGCTCAGTCAGCCTAGCCCACTGCCAGCACCAGGTTATGCCTGCTGCCCATTTAGTTTTCAGTGTTTTTCCCAGTGTTTTCCTAATTGGACTTTACTGATATCTCTTAGAAAATTAAATTTTCCAGTAGATTCCACTGCCCTAAAATCTGCTCTGTCTTGCCTACATTTTTCTGCTTAATACTCCTGTTCTCACTGGACTATCCCCCTGTCAAACTCTAAAAAAAGAGCTGTTTCAGTTGTCATCTCCACCTCAAATACATCAAGGGGTTTTCAGCCAGGCTCTCTCAGAGTTTGTTTGCCTGCATAGCACAGAGTTATCCCTTTCAGAGTTTTCTTAAGGCTTACTCAAGTCAATCCCCTTAGGCTCATAAAATGTTTTTCTTGCTAGTTCTTGGTCTCCTTCCAAGCTGTCAATAACTTTCTAGGAACACGATGCCTGGGACTTAGTGTGGTTCTCCTCACTGTGGATGACAAATGGTGGTAAAGGCAAGGAAAGGTCTTTGGCTGATGTTGCCATGATGCAAAAGGAAATGGTTCTCTGGGAAATCTCAGGCTCAGAGTGAGCCTGACAGGCACAGGGAAGAGTGGAGATGGTCAAGGCTCACAGTTACCTCTAGCCATACCTGAGTGCAGCAGTTGGTTCATAGCACTTTGCCATGTGTATTCCCCATATCAGGCACTGTGCCAGGTGCAGTGCCCCAGCTGACAATCACATCATGGAAATGGAAATCATGCAATAAAACTTTCTTGTCTGTGGTAAATATCCATCCCACAGCTTTACAAGACATATAGAGTACTCTGCAAAGCAGCCCTGGCTGTTGGTCTTTGTTTCTCCACATAAGAGAAACTGAAGGGAGGGAAATTTCCCATGAGGACTCAGAAGTGAAAGATCTGAGCAGGGCAGAGCTACTGCTACTCATCTCCCCCCTGCAAATTCCCTGCTCTTTCTGAGTGCAGAGAAAAGGCTGTTGCTATAGAAACCAGTGGGGAAAATGTACATTATATCATGTTTTATACACTTTTTCAAGGAGATCCTTTAATCTGAGCCTGCCACTGTGTAATTTTACAGAAACAATAATGCCAATAAAGCCCCTGAATGTAACAGTGATTTCAAATCAAATTAAATAATCATCAGTTACTTCAAAACCACTTTTTCTTGTAACCTTCTACCCTAGCCAAGATACTAAGACAGGGTTAGCAAAGCAGCTCATAATAAGGTAGATGACGGGAGAGTAAATCTAAGGCAGAAAAAGGTGTAATGAGAGGTGGAGGGTGGGTTCTATGCAGCAGTAAGCAGCGGCTAACATTTGAGGAAGGAAAAGAAGGCTAAATAAAATGTCTTCTTTTTGACTTGTGTGTAGAGAAGCATGAAATAAAGATGAAAGGTACATTTTATAGCTTACATTCTAGCCTATCTTTTCGATTATTTACCTGGACAACCTCCTGTGGCTCACCCTTTGTGAGCACCCTTTTGAAGCTCTCTTCTGCTGCCCTTTAAAAAATTATCCCACCGTTTCCTACTTGCCTTTGTGAAAGACCTTTGACCTCTCAAACAATCAGACATATTGGACCCCAGGGTCTCAGGGAGGCAATGCTCTTTGTGAGGCTGCATCATGAAAGCCTCTCTAACATCAGGCTGGCCTGGTGGCAGCAGCTCTCGTGGGGATCCTTCATAAGAGAAGCCTAATTTAATCCTTTGGATGTCAAAACAGGCCTTCATTCTGTGCTCTCCACCCTCAGATTGTTTTTTACTTAATTCACCAGGATCACTATTTCCTTCCTGATTAGTGCTGACCCTGTGACTTGATTAGATTTTTGCCAATATTTATAGTAGCTCCTATGTGTTGATTGGTAATTTCTTCAGGACAAGGACTATCTTGCTGTGTTGAGCAATATAAAAAACAAATCTTAGTCTTGTTCCAGGGCTGTGATTGATCCTCAACTGGGTCCCTGCTTGTTGTCCTGAAAGTATATACACAAAAACCCTAAGCAAGGCTTTGCATCACTAGTGACAGGGTTTATATACTGCAATGTAGGATGAGGTAGCTGTGGGAACAAAGCAAATTAATTACACCAGGTAAGACCAAGTAAGGGTACTCTTAGCATCTCTTCCAGACAGATTCCTTTCTCCAGACCTGCCCTTAGTCCTGTGCATTTTCATGACTTCTTGGGTTGCAGTAAGTTCCATGCAGGTCTCTTGAATCTTAAAGGAAAAAAAAAAATAAAAGAAAGTTAAAAAAAGAAAAAGAGGTGGTTTCTCTTTTTGGTGGTGCCTCTGAGACCTGGCTGTAGGCCTCTTCTTTGCTTCTTTCAGGGTCTCTCAGTTTTTGAACACACATAATAAGAGTTTCCCATAAAGCTCTTCCCTTTTCTGTTCTATAGCCAGATGCATTCAGTGGTTAGCAGGAAAGAAACAATTCCTCTATCCTCTTCCTGCCTTGCCTTGTGTCCCCTATGCAGGAAGGTAGCCTTGCTCTCTGCTTCCCAGTCCCTGGCCTTTCCACAGGACATAATGGCTGCTAACTGTGAATAAACAATTGATACACATACTGTCTGGTTTAGGGGCTGTAAGCACTTTTAGAGCCCAAATAAGATATAGATATTAATAGAATGACTGTAATGATGCAATAAAAGAAAAAAAAAATGTCCTCAGGAGCATGAAAATCTAACTTCAAAAGCAATTACCATCAGTAACAAAATGCAATGAGAAGACTAGGATTACTTTAATAAGATTATCTGCTTATTGCCATTTGTTTTTGTGGGTGACTGTAATGCTGCTTCACCTTCATTCCCAGCCAGTTTCTCAGATGCTTCTCACCTTGAGCATTAGCTGGCCCAGTTGGACTATGCACTGGCATTTCTGTGACATCCAGCATATGTGAGCACCTGCTCTTTGGTCTTCAGCCTCCCCTACACTGGTGCCTCTTTTGTCACTGCAATGTTGCTTTTCAGTGCTGGGTGGCTTTGTGTCCTTGGTGGAAGAGGCAGGAACAGGAGAAGATGGAAGGGTGTGGAAATCTGGTGTCTTTGTGGAGATGGAAAGACTGTGTTTGTGGAGGTGTGGAAAAGTAAGGAAAATAATGGTAAGGTCAGTGTTATAAGACAAGGACAGAGACTTGATTTTGAAGGCTCTTTAAAAGTTCAGCTTTATCCTGCAGGCCTGGGAGAGCAGGTGCAGGGTCAGTAAGGAAGTGCATGGTCTATAGGGCAAGGAGTTCTCATTTGGTATTCCAGGGTCCCTTAACCCAGTCAACATCCATTATTTATGCCTTTCTGACTCCAACTTCAAACCCACTCATGTCCTTGAGGCACTTGGGTGGGGAGTCAGTCGGGTGGTGAGGATGTGCTCAGAGGGACCAGGACTCACAGAAGTGGGAGGTACACATGGTAACCTGGAGAGATTGCTGAGGTAAACAGTGATGTCTCTGCAGAGACTACGTTAAATTGCACCAGGGATCAACACGTCAGCTCTGTGCAGGGAGGAGAGAGTTGTTGTTCTCTCATTTTGGAGGCAGCTCAGGGAAAAGTAACTGTCTGCCTCTGCAGATATCTGTATATATAAGTTAGTGGTCAAAAAGGTGATTGATAGATAGATATGGGTATAGACCCAGTTCTGTTCTGAACAGGAAAATGTGTAGCCCCTGGCATCTGGAGGACATAAAAGGCTCTTCCAGAACTCACTGGAGAACTAATCAGGGCTCTCAATCCAGAACTCACTTACCTAGATTCACCTGCACAACATAAACACAGCACCTTCCTCATTGTTCTTGGAGAAATTTAAAAAAAACAACAACAACCAAACAACCAAACCAGGACACAGCTAATAAATAAATCAGATTTAATCAAAACCATATACATATTTATAGATAGGGAGGGAGATGTGGTCAGAAAGGTGCTGCCCTGGCGACAGGAATAAAAGAACAGTGTATTTTACCAATACAGTACCAATGAAGGGTGGAGTTGATAAATGAATAGGGGACTTTGAATCCCAGAGGCTAATTTTTACAGACAATCATAATTCTTGGTTTCCTGTCAAATTATAGCACAAACTAGCTCACAGCTCTGCCCAGGACACAGCAAGGCAGATGCAGCCAAACACAGAACTTGAGGGTGAGGGAGGGACAATATATCTGGAGGTCTTTCTGAGGTATTTATAACATATATATTCTACTGTTGTTTACTGTCTTGGGGCCATGCTTTGCCCACAGATATGTGTGCACACATCTCATTCCAGTCAGTAAGAGTGGCAAGCTCACATTTAAGAGAATATATCGGACTTTGTGGGAGAACAGGAGCTCATCAAACAACAGATCCAGAAGCAGAACAGGGAGAGGACTGAAGATAAGGAAGCCTGAGAAAGGAAAGAAGTGAATGGACAGCCCCAGATGTATCTGACCAGTCAGTTCAATCCTGTTTGAACAGCCAGGACAAAGCTTCTGTTCTGAAGGACTTCTGCAGTGCAAATGATCAAGGCAACCTTTACTGGACAGTGAGGGAAACCATGAACAAAATTACTAGAAGCATGTCAGCAGAAGAAATATGAAGGAGCTGGCCCCATAACCATTCGGTTCTTATTTTTGAAAAAGAATCCAATCCTGCCTCAGAAATGGTCTGATTCTACATATAAGCCTGGTCACCCTCAACTGATACAGGCAGAGAAAGGAATTATTAGTTCAGTGGCCAGAAAGGCAAAGAGTGGCATTTGTATTATGAAACTCAGAATTGGTGTGGCTGCTTTGAGAAACAACATCACACCAGGCTTGCAAAGCAGCCAAATGCATTGGCTTTTTGCAGAATAATTTCACTTTCAGTCAATGTATGTATTAGAAAGTGTTACAGATGAAAACCACCTTTCACTGGTAGAAAGCAGACACTGTTTAATATCAAATGCGCTTGCCATCTGATTTTGCTAAAAACCCACCCCCAGACAATAAAAAAAACCCAACAAATCTCAAAAAAAACTATAATACAAACCAACAATCATATCAATGTCAAATGGTAACTGTTTCATCAAACATAAAACCAAATTCTTAACGCAGGTGCCCTCAGAAGTAAGTGAAAGTCATGCATCCGTATATAGAGTCCACTCCCAATCTGGGAATGCTTGTTAAGACTGCTGCTCTTTGAAATGCAAGTCCCACTTTTTAAAAGGAGAGCTCCACACATGCATGCACACGTGCACTTGGGCACACAGAGATACACACACACACACACACACACACATATAACCTTCTCTCTCTTAGCAAGAGCTGCATGCTGGGTCACTGTTAATGCTGTGCATTTTTGATCTATTTTCTTTGTAATGATAAGGTTGAAATGTCTTCACTTCTTAGGACTCTATTTTTCAAACAAAAAAGGGAATGAAGAGGAGCTACATTACAAAGACAAAAAAATGCACTTGTATCTCAGCTATATGATTATTCCCAGTCCTCTTCAAGGTTGATGTTATCTACATATGTGACTCAGCAGAATCCACAGCAAGTTATCCTTTCTCCATGTTGGGTTTTCTCAATAAACCCCATGAGCCTGTTCTTTGCTTCCACAGACCATTTTTCTTTAAGGCACTGCACATGGATGTTGTCTTCAGACAGAAGCGCAAGCCTCCTTCACTGGACTGTGCATTTCTCTCTCTCCCTGGACTGCCCTTCCCTGAGAACTTTTGATTTGATGTACTTCAGGTCGCTGTTGACACTTGGCCGGCGAGCGAAGGGAGAGATCATGCCATAGGCATCCATGTCCTTGACTCGGCGCATCCGGAAGGATTTCTGCTGGAAAGTGTCACCATACTGGATGGAGATTTTCCTGTGGAGGGAAGGGCTCATCTCATGAGGTAGCTTGGCCATGCTGAAGAGGACATAAAACATCTCATCCACATTGGTGTTCTTCTTGGCCGACACTTCGAAGTAAGCACAGTTTTCATCACTGGAGACAAGATTCTCACCTTCGTCAGTGCGTACCTTGCGGAAGATTTCACTGTGGTCATTTTTGTTGCCACAGATGACCATGGGGAGGTCAGCTGATTCCTTGGTCTTGTTCTTCAGGCAGGATTTCACCTCAAGGATCTGTTTCTGGAGTCGCTTGACCTCATCAAAGGATTCTCTATTGTCCAGGCTGAACACCAGGATGAAAACATCCCCTGCAATTAAAAAAATATATATACTGTAAAGGCTTGTTGGTCACAGTCAGTTTCAGATGAGCAAATTTTTAAAAAGCAATTATTTTATTTCCATCTCCTCCCCATATTTTTTGTTTGGTCCTTTGGCACCTATTCACTCAGTTGTACTTTAGTTCTTCTCATTTAACTCCCCACATCTTTCTATAGTACTATGGAAAAGACTTTTGGTTATGATGTTACTCCAATCATATCCAGTTGCATTCCTAGTTTGCACTGGGCTTGCAAGTTATTGCCTGCTTTTATCTTTTTTGTAGATATGTTTCTATCTCAGCTCTGCTGCACTGCTCTTCTTTTTATTTCCTTTCATTTGTATCTCTGTGTAAAACACATCCTCTTCTGACACCAGAAAGAGTGGAGAGCTGGTAGCCACCCTTTGATTACACAATACATGAAGGTACACCTGAACTGAAGGTTTATGGCTAATCACTCCTGAACACCCAAGTCAGGAATGAGAGGTTTTTCAGTGCACTCTGCTGTCATTGCATTTCCTCAAGAGAAGCAGACCATGAAAAAATAATACATAATGACACACATCCCCTGGCATTTCCTTTTGACATTTCCTGACTTACAATTCCTTGTAGAAGGAATAGAAAATAGAAATAGCAATAGGAATAGGAAGTAGAAAATAAGGCAAATCATTGGCTGTTGAATGACATTTGTGTGGAACGTGCTAAGAGAGCTTTCAGGGACTAAAGCGTACATTCACATCCCAGAAACTGGTTCTAGGACCTCACTGAATATGGATTGTAGCCTTGTCAGATGTGAATGTCATGTTTCATTGGCCAGTTAGAAAGGTGGATAGTGAATCCAGAAAGGTGTGTTGTGAGCTGTGGCTGAATATACATCTACTCTCACTTTTGTAATTAAAACATATATTTTAGCTCAAACAGGAATGGCTTGACAGTGAGAAGAGGCAAAATGGTGCCACCATTTCCCCTTCTTTTGTCTTTAAACACATTTGATTAGATGCAGATTAAGGAGAAAGGGTAAAAGTAAAGCTAACCTTCTACTGTAATATTAAATCAAGTAAATCAGGCTGGAAATTTTCAGAATAAAAAAAATCCTTGGGACTTTCTTGGTTAGAATTCCCTTCCTGTGCATTTTATATTTATTTTTCACTGTATGTGTCCTACAACAACATGCTTAATTTGCCCTTTGCTGCTCTTTATACCCACAGAATTGCATTCAACCATTTATTTGTGACATCAGTAAAAGTACGAAGCAGGAGGGGAAGGTAGATGGATTAGGGAAAACCTCAATTTTAGACCTTCACTCACTGGACTTCTCTACTGTGGCTAATGCATTCCTTATAGTGCTGGGAACACGCCAGCCAGGAAATATGACTCTATAGAAATGCATCTTGCAGTAAATCAAGCAGTCCCTTTAGCTATGTCCCAAAAACCAGTCATCCCCAGGCTACACGTTTCAAGCTAATGTCTGTCCTTATGACCTTCCCCCTGACTTTCAGACCTGTTAGGATGGAAAGCCTCCTCATGGCAGGGAAAGGGTGATTCCCAGAGGTGTCCAGGATGTCCAGCTGATACATGTCTCCCCGTATGTTGTAGACCTTGCGATGGAAGTCCTCAATGGTGGGAGTGTACTGATCCTCGAAGCGGCCGTTGAGGAAGCGAGAGACGATGGAGCTTTTCCCCACCCTGGAGGCTCCCAGCACCACCATGCGGTACGAGTTCTTGGCTGGCACGTTCAGGTTGCAGTTTCCTCCAGACAGTGTCTTCATCATTGCTTGGTCCTGAAAGAGGAAATAGCAGAGTTGGAAGAAAGATCACAAACCAAATGGAGGGTAAAATAAGGCAGCTCCTCACCACCAGCTTGCCAAAGAGCACTCTGGAGCACAGTCCTGCACAGCAGAGCAATCAGTGGTTCATACAGAGATTTTTTTCACTGGAAATGCTTAAACTTTCCAGTCTCATTTTCAGTGAGTGTTTTTTTGTTTCAGTTTGGTTTTGTTTTATTGTTTTTGTTGCTCTTTCTTTTCTTTTAAAGTAGTATAAAAATGAAGGCATTTACACTGAAAATAACATGCTTTTGAATTATAATTTGCTGTCACATTTAAACATTAAGGGCTGAATTTATCAGCTGCTCTTCATCTGAGACACCAAGTTCCTTCCCACCATCTGTGTCACACATTTTACCAGATTTTTCAGTAGAACTTGGTTCTCATTTAGATACATAAACACAGAGGTCTGATTCCCCAATATACTACAGCCACTGCAGTTGCTATTAGAACCTATATTGCTTCATGTGGTGGCCTAAATAGGAGCTGTGCTTAATACTAATTTTCTGAGATCAGCCAAAAGTCAGACAGAAACAAGAATCATGCTTAAGATCAGTGCAAGCTAGACATCTCAGTAACTTTAACTGGCCCCATGCAATATTAATTACTGATGCGGGGAGCATGAGCCACAAAACAGCACTGGCTGGTGATAAATTCAAAGATCTGTGCCTCCAGTAACCTTTTAGAAAACAGCTTTTAATTCTGCTGTTTGGCCTGGTAGTGTGGGAACTCCCTATAAGCAAACTATCATTGTTGCAGCAGGATGGCTGTCAATGGGTGGAACTGCAGAAACACTGATTTTTTTAGGAGCTCCAGTCTTTATACATGCAGATGTTGCAGGTGCCACTGGCTTTGCCAAGCACGGGTGCTAAGTACAAGCAGGAGAAAAGATGAAGGACAGCCATCTTAAATAGCTATTAGACAAGATTTCCAACCCATGACATCTAAAATGAGTCTAGAGACTCTTGAGACTGCATTTTGACATAGCACTCAGATGCAGAAAACTTTGGTAGGAAAGAAAAAGTGCTGCTCAGACTATTTTAGTGTACCAGTTCAAATGAACTGTGTGATGAAATAAAAATACAGCCCCTGTGTGGGGAAAGCTGACTGTTACAGCAAAGGAGGCACACTTTGGACTGAGTTTATTTTGGTTACTATGTTCTTATTAAAGAATATTCAAGTTCCCACTGTGCCATTTACTTAACTTAGGTGTTGTTTATTTAATATTACAATGCAAGTACTTTATGTACACAGAAACATAATTTCTGGGTCCAGATCTGGATTCCTATCTTTCCCTTGAGTGACTTTTATCTCCAAAGCTTTTATGTACCTGACAATTATCTCAGGGAAGAGCTTAAAATATTTTACTTTGTTTAACATGTGCTAAGCACTAAAGCAGCAGTGAAAATACAGTCACTGCTAAATAAAGAAGTCTCTGGAATTCTGATCCAGCATCATTACAAGCTCTGTGCTATAGCCCAAGGAAACAGCAAAACATGAGTATTTATTATTATTGCCATAATTTGCAGCACAACAATGGCATATTCAGCCCTACCTAATGCACAAAAGAAATGCAATGGTCTCCTTGGAGTAGCTTATACTCTGAATTACATTCAGAGGGCAGGACAGCCTAATATTAGAGCCAGATAAATGCCAGAACACAAATGGCATTTTTTTTGGATGGACACACACATGCAGAATTATGGTACTGTTGGGATTACTGTGGCAGAAATGACAGCAAGGGGCACAGCTGGTATTTGAACCGGATTCTGTGTTTTATTTACCACAGGACCTATCTCCAATAGTGCAGAAATACCATATTCAGTCTCTGAAACACTGCCATGTACACTATCCCTAGCCACTCCAATACAGTTTCGCATCCATGGGCAGACAAAATAAAAGCTTATTTTCACCCTCTGAGGCTTATTTATTTGGCAGAGAAGAGCAGGGAAACAGATGAGTTGTAAAAGCTACAAACTACTTTACCACCCAGGATCAGTATCTAGAGGTGAGGCAGCTCTCCAGGCCGTGATGGACCGGTGTAGCTGCATGAGGGCAAGTGGATTTTGTGGTTTACACCTGCTAGAGAGCAGTTCTGTACAATTCAGTGCAAAAGCATCTGGGAGAGAGCAGTTATGCATTTTGAGCAAATGCCTTTTATGTCCTGTACAGAACATGTGTGCTGAGGAACCTGATCACTTTACACTGTCTGTCCTTGTTCCACATGTCAAGGCATTCAGTCAAGAGGACTCCTGTGCTTTCTTAACTGCATTTCATTTCCCTCAAAGTAAAATATGCTTTCCAGCATTTCGATTTGTGGAGTTGCTACTCATCACCTCTGCTGCAAACCTGACTCAGAGCGTGCCATGGAACTGGGAGCTTCCATTTTTGTTTTGAGCCTTCTCTTTTATCCCCTCTGTTCAGTTTTTCTCTAGTTTAACACAGTCTTTCCTCCTCAGAAAAGGAATGAAACTTCAGCCTTGACACCCAAGAGTGGCAGGGTGGAGCACAGGGGCTCATACAGTGAAAAAGATTAAAGACAGTGGAAAGGAAATGGAGAGACACCACATGTTCATGTACTAAGTAAAGAAAAATCAATCAGAAGAGAATGAGGAGACAAACAACCTCCAGCTGGTTTTAATCTACATCTTTTCCTTCCAGTTTATTAAATGCTTAAGCATAGATTAATTCTCGGTGGTACCTTCTGCTTTATGTACTGGCTTGATGTTAGAAAGTTTATATTGGTACAGTGCAGGGATTTCAAAATGTTATAGACGTACAGTCAATTAATGTTATCTCTAAATAACACTAAATGAAGGGAAAAGCTCATTTGCCCAGAGAAAGCTGAAACCACACTCCAAAATCAGCATTAAACTCCATTTCTCTTGCCTCCTTGTGTTATCCTCTACCAGCTAAGCACCACTTCTCTTTTTATAGGCAGGCATCAGGATGAATGACAATGAACCTGCTTTTGTATGCTCTGGAGAGCACTTGTCTGAATGCCGGTGAGCTACTGACAAATTTGAGCCTGAGCACCTGTAGGGAGATACCTAAGGAAGATATTCTTTATTCACCCTACCCATAGCTATTGCACCTTAGTTCTCCACCCTCCCATTAGGGTGTATGCTCTCCCTACAACTCCCCATTCATGAATAGACTTCTGAACTACCTCCCTTGCACTCCTCTGTCTTCAGCTGCTGGTTGTGTCTCTGCCACCCCAGTGTTAATCATTGCACCCGGCTAAAAAGGACAAGACAGACACAAACTGTAACATGCATAACAGACCTGCCAGTTCTTACTCACTGCCAGTGTCCCTGTCATTTTCATGCACACCAGAAATCACTCCTGTGGCATGTTTGTTTCCTACTTTCACCGCAAACTCCGTGCTGATTTCTTACCTCTCTTTCCCAGGAGGAGCAGTCCTAGGTCTTGGTGCAGTCTGATGAAGCTGATAATTTTAATCAGAGGTGGCTGCTGTTGTAAAAGGCTGTTGTTCTGTGGATCCCACGCTGCTTGTTCTGGGCTCAGTTCTTCTTCAGTATTTCCCAAGAACTTAGCAGGATTGGGAAGGACCGCAGGGCTCCAGAGGGCGTTCCCCCATGGATGTAAGTACTGGATCAGGCAACCGACTTAGGCTCAAGAAGAGTCTCAGAATGGTGGCAGTTTTTCCCTTTGGGCAGATGAGCTCTTTTCCTCACAGGCTCAGTTCAAGAAAAGGAGAGGCAGAGTCTCTCCCTCTCTCACTGCCCTTTCTTGCAAGTTGTACTTTGTAGGCTCTACTGTGGGGAAAGAATTTCAGGAGCAGCACCTACTCGTGCAGGGTAGGGGGTGCATCCAGCTGGCCCACCCTGCCTCTGTGCTGCCTCAGATCCTCTGCAGAAAGATCAGGGTCGGCATGGAAGTTGGCTTTGGTGACCCTATGCTTCTCCAGATCTTGCCTGGCTCATCCCTTCCCACGGGCTTCTTTTCTTCTGGTCTGAGATTTGCTTTAAAATATTCTCTCTCTAGTATAAAAGGGGCTTTACATTTGCCAGTTAAGTCTTTTTTCCTTCCCTCCCTGCCCTTCTCCCTCTCTCTCTCACAACTACTGGCAAATTGCAGATTTTCTTTCTGTAGGACTCACAGATAATTGGCTCAACTCCTCCCTTGAAGTCAGTGTCAGACACAGGGGAAGGAGGGGTGCTGAGGGGGTGGGATTTTGTGCTTATTGGAAAAATCTTTTCCCCTCTAAACAGAAAGTTCATGTGCATTGCAGACTGCACATTCCCTGTCTTTTCACCAGAGACCTGTATGTATGCATGTGTGGGGAATGAGTTAGTGTATGTGTATGAGGGACACAGAGAATTCATTTACTTGGCAAGCTGCAAATTCATAAGCTGTTTCTAAAAGCTCTGTACTTCCCTGCTGGTTTTTTCTGTGAGACAGCAGCAGACAGACTCACTCCCCAAGTAAGGGCTTTCTGTCCATAATTTCTGTAAATCTTTTGCTGTATGGAATGCTTTCCCCTGTTTGCTCAACCTCAAGACATTTACATGGTTTGTTTAAGAAATAAGAATAATTTGTAACTGTTATTCTTTCATTAATATTTAAATAAATGAAAAACTAAACTAGGAATGAGTAATAGAAATGGTAAAAAGGTCAAACAAACTGAAAGTGTGTAGAACTGAAGCTCAGGAAAAAGAGAGAAACAATCTAAAAATAGGGTGAATTCAAGGCATTTGTTCAATCCCAAGTGAAACATGGTCACTGTTTATTTCATTGCTGATCTACTTGAATTTTTTGTTCTTCTTTTTGAACTGAAATAGTTTAGATCTATGAGTTTATTTTAAAATATGTCAAAAACTTGATTTTGAAAGATTTGAAATTAAATACTTCAGCATTTCCTACTTTAAACTCCTAATTGGGGGTGGAGCAGGAAAGGAAGAAAAACACAGTTATTTTCAGGGTATTTTGACAATAAGAAAATGGAAGAGAGGCACAGTCTTCCAAATGCGAACACAGTTTCAGCTCTCCCACAGTTCTCTCTCTTTTTTTTTTTTGTTTCCCCTGAGAAATTTACTCTTTGCTGAACGTAAAGATTCTTGCAACTACCGTGTATGTATCATCTCAAAGCCTCCTCCCCTCACCAATTCCTGCAGCTTTTGAGGAATTTCCAAGAAGCTTCACTTTCCTCAGAGTACAGGGATGTATCTCTTGCCACCCTTGGAATAAAGCTTCCCTCCTTTGCTCCTGGTGCTGCACTGAACCCATCCACAGCCATCCACAGCAACCACTGAGGAGGGTTCCACAGCTGTTGCAGGCACAGCCTGACATGCCTGTGAGTGTCTCTGTGCTCCCAGACCTCAAAGGATACAACACAGGCTGTGGGATGAGTCCAGCTGGAGCTGTCTGTGAGAGGAAGCAGCTCCCACTGAAGTCAGGGTCATGGTCATCCCAGGCAGGATGTGCATCTGGGGACTCACAGGCTAACACAAGGCAAAACAACATTGATCAAATTCGGGAAGCAGCAGATCCTGCAAAAAGCTTCATATTTTGGAAGAAGGGGCAGGACATGGCAGACCACCATTGAAATTTTGCAGCAGTACTGAACAGGTATTGGGTCATGAGCAGAAGTGAACTCGTTTTGGACCACAGTACCAGGTCTCCTTTGTCAGCTCCTGAGCCTTTTGGCAAAAGGTGGGAGAGTACTTTCATGGCTCAGACAAATTTTTGACTTAAGATATGATGCTTCCCATTTCTAAGTCAGTAGTTCAGATAAAACCTGGACCATTTCTGATGTCCTGTCAGCTCTTGTGTAGCTCAGATCCAAAGAGAGTGACCAGCATCCTGGTATTATTGCCATAGGAGCAGGAATGGCCACAGAACCCAGCAAAGTGAGATCCTGTGGTGCCCCAGAAAATAAACTCGTCTTTCATCCCTATGGCTCACGTGTCAAGTGTACCAAGTTCTCTACCAAGAAAGAAGTGTAGTCATAGTGGAGACCATCTCATCAGCCTGGAATTTCAGCCTACTCATGCTCTTTTGTAAACCAGATGCAAAACTCATGGCTTCCTGGCTTCACCCAGCCCAAACTCCTACTCAGCCATTCTCTCCAGCATTTCAAATAACCAATCAAGTTCTTCAAATGGTGATAAAATAAAATAAGAACATTCTTAACTAGGCACCTTAGCTTTATTTGATATCTTACCAAACAGCTAGTAAAATAATAAATTCCTTTTGAGGTAATAATTTTTGAGAGATAATTGCTAACTATGAGACTTCAGAGGCTTGAAAGACATTGTTTTGCTTTTTGGGCTGGTGTTTTTTGTTTTATTACTTCTGGTGTACTCTTAAGGAGTTGACAAAAAGCTGGGTTTCATACTTTCCCTCAGGGCTCAGGAGACGAGAGGTCAAAAAATCCCTACTTTTTCAAAAGACATCATCCCATGATTGGCTCTGGTGGAGAAGTCACATTACATCTGCCCTCCTCTGAGGAGGAGGGATGGCAGCACCTCTTTGTTTTGAGGCTTATAAAGGGAATAAGTGAATCAGAGAGACAAAGTCTCAGCCAAACAAGAGAAGTTCCCAGTCTCAGCAGTTTCCTCTGATTAGTCAGAGACCATCAGACTTTCTTAAATTTGCAGATATTTTTCAATTTAAAAGACAGGCTAGCAATGTATTAGTCTCTAGAGGCATTTCTCCCTCCCACTCCTCCAGTCTGTAAAGAAAGCCTAAATGAGGTTTTTATCCAGCTAAGCCTGTTTAGGAGGATGACAGACAGTGGTTGCAGAGAACCACCACTGCTATGAAGGGCTGTGCCTGCCTTGCTGAATGTCAGGCTGGAGTGAAGGAATACCATCCAGAGGGACCTTGACAAGCTTGAGAGGTGAGCCCACATGACCCTCATGAAGTTCAATAAGGCCAAGTCCATGGTCTTGCATACGGGGTGGTCCCAAGAAAAAATACATGCAGAGCAGTGAATTAATTGAGAGCAGCCCTGAGGAGAAGGACTTGGAGGTGTTGGTGTATGAGAGGCTTGACATGACCCAGCAATGTGCATTCACAGCTCTGTATCCTGGGCTGTGTCAAAAGAAATGTGGCCAGTAGGTCAAGGGAGGAGATTCTGCCCCTCTACTCGACCCTCAGGAGACCCCACCTGGAGTGCTGCATCCAGCTCTGGAGTGCCCAGCATACTGGGGACATGGAGCTGTTGGACTGGGCCTAGAGAGCCACAACGATAACAGGAGGGATAGAGAACCTCTCCTACGAAAGCAGCCTGAGAGACTTTCTCTCCTTTACTGGAGAAGGGATTCCTTATAGCACCTTCTAGTACCTAAGTAGAGTCTAAAAGAAAGGAGAGGGGATAGGACAACTGGTAATGGTTTCAAACTGCGAAAAGAGAAATTTTGTATTACAGTTATTTACTATGATAGTAGTGAGGCACTTCCAAAGAAGTTGTGGATGCCCCATCCTTGGAAATGTTCAAGTCAGGTTGGCTGGAGCTTTGAGCAACATGGTCTAGTGGAAGAAGTACCTGCCCATGGTAGGGGAGGTGGAACTAAATGATCTTTAAAGTCTCTTTCTAAAGAAATTGTTCTGTGATTTATGGTTTGTTGATGCACTGGCCATTGGCACATGTAGCTGTTGTCTCTGCTGGCATGCAGGTCCTGCCAGCTCATCCGTGGGGTGCTCAGCTGTGGAGGGTGCCACAAATTGAGCACCAGTTGTGACTGGTACACAGGGCACCTGTGTGGCTTTTGGCCCTGCCTAGACTGTGGGTGAGCAGAGATGGAAGACTACAGAGGGCAAGTCAAGGGAAGTGAAAGAATGTGGCAGAAAGAGGCTGGGTAGAAAGATGTACAGAGGAATGAGGAGAGACAAGAGGAAGTTACAGCTGCTGTGTGCTGCACTAACCACCTGGTTTTAAATGGTGAAGACCTAAATGAAGTGAGTTACTATATGGGGAAGCACAACTGCTCCTCAGACCTCTCCAAGGAGTTTCCTTCTCCAAAGAAGAGTGCAGCTCTCGGGCACCGCACATGCAGCCCACACTGGCACCAGGATGCAGGGCAATGTGGGCTCATACAGTTGCACTGCTACGAGTAATTTAATATCTTCTGCAGCTTCAGGCACTGGCTGCAGCTGGAGACAGAGTCTGATGTGCTGCGCTGATGCAGCAGGACCAATCTGTTTCTCTCCACCTTAAGGCAAATGACAGAAGTGACAATCACATGCCGTTTATCTCTGGTCACAATTAGTTCAAGACAAAAGATGTTCCAAGCCTTTTGTTTCCTCTTCAAAAGCAAATGCAAGGGAGATTAAATATTTAAACCAGTTTTTCTCTCTCTTTTCCCATTCCTTTTCACTTTCCTCATTATTCAGTAAAGCTCATTTTTCCACCCCCTCACCTTCCTTCCCTCCCTCCCACATTCATCCCTCCTGCTTGGTGCTTCTCCCTTCCAGCAGTGCTGAAAAGTTAGTGTTCAGGAGCCAGTAAACTGCAGGTACCAACTCATATTCTGAACAGCAAATAGATGAGCTGCTGATCTGTTACTGCCTCTGAATTATCCATGGCTCCCCCCCAGTGTTTAAAGTCAGTGAAGGGCTTTCCAGGGGTGTTACACTGACTGGGAAAATAGCTAATAATCATTAGTTATGAGTGAGAACAGTAATACTTGAGAGAATGCAGTTGGAGAAGGCAAGCAATTTAGAAAGTGGTGGTTTGAGTTTTATTCTTGGTCCTGTCACAGAATTTGTGCATGGCTGTAATTTCTCAGTGTCCTAGGGTGTAAAATGTATTAATAGTAATTACTGAGATCCCTGCAAAATGGAAAATATTGCTGTGAAAAATGAATTCAAGTCACCTCTTTTTTTTTTTTTGCTGCATTTCTTGTGAATCAGTGCTTTATTACATTTTAATTAAATATTTTTGAGAAAGGACTGCATTTCTAGTCCCCTTCCTTTCTATTTGCCACTGGCACAGCATGTCCAGATTTCCTTATCAGATATGCATGCATCCTTACATTTGCATTTCACTGTTGAACTTTTTAAAACTCTTCCAATCTTGGAAAAATTACTCAAAAGCAAAATTAAAGCTTAACTCCCCTCCCCTTATTTGGAAAAGACTCAGGATAGAACATGGGGGGAAAAAACCAGTCAAAGTGTAC